ATGACCATGGACCTAAAATAGCAACAGATATCATCTGTTGCTATTTTAGTATTTGAAGAAAAAGCGTCAATTAAGTTAGGATTATAATAATATTTACATGAACAGGTATCTAAAATATATCTTAAAATTTAAATATTTATATAAATTTTGCATTTAAAATTTAACGATAGATACATGTAACCAGTATTTATATAATTATAGTAAACTGCAACGTACAAAACTTTATACAATACGGGTCGAGTTATACCTACTGGTCAATTAAACAAAAAAGTTCTCAAAAGTTAAACCACTTCGAAATTCAATTCAACCACCACTCAATACCTAATAAATATTAAAATTGCAGGCTAATGAAGTTATATAATGATAATATTCAAGACATTCACATTTGACGGGCCATTCAAGACATTTGACGGGCCTGTTGGTCTAGTGGTTAGTGACCCTGACTGCTAAACCGAAGGTCGTAGGTTCGATTCCCACCCAGGACAAATATTGTGTGATGAGCACGGTCATTTGTTCTGTGTCTGGGTGTAATGTATCTTTAATATGTATATAAGTATGTTTATCAGCAGTTTGGTTACCATAGTACAGGCTCTGCCTAGTTTGGGATCAGACGGCCGTGTGTGAGATGTGTGAGATATATTATTATTATTACTATTATTCAAGATACAAGTAGTAAGTTATTATTTAAAACAGTGTAGAATAAAAAAAAAGTTAACGCATCTTTTGATTTCAGCTCACACAAATGAGTTTATACTAGACGATGTAATTGTAGCATATTAGGCTTAATGCTCTTAATTTTTGTTTACAACATTACATCATATTTATGACTGGACTAACTCAGCTAAATATATCTAAGTTTTTATTCAATAACTTCTTAAGGTTTAACATATTTAATCAAAGACCAGCACAAATAGGCCAGAAGGCAGAGTCGTCTCGTTGTATAAAATAAGTGTTAATCTGCATTGTCAGATATCCAAAAATAAAAAAACAATCACCACTTAAGATAGAAAAAAGATTGATTTTGTTGTAAATAAAATCTTACTCTATGAATAGAAAAATAAAGATTTTTTACTTTTCTGTTGAAACTAGTCGCAATGTGTTTAATATCATAAAGAATAAATATGCTAGCGATCCGGCACGGCGTCGCAATTTAGATACTACTAATGTGGTGTCAGTGATGAGTAATTAATTATACTATTATTATGATAGGACTACAGAACATCTTTATATTATTATGCAATATTCATAGGTCCGCTCCGATCACGTCTTTTTTGTAGATCTTTTTAAGATATACGATTCCGTAGTACATTATTTTGGTCTACGAGTATCTCGTAAGGATTAGCCAGTGTTTGCAATGTAAGCGCGCAAAACCATGTTTTTTTACTACAAATCTTTGAAATTCTCGGGTTTTCTCTACTATATTTAATTATTTATTTATTTTAAACTTAATGCACATATTGTACAAAGACTTAAAGCCATTAGGCATTCTTTCCCAGTCAACCTTCAGGTGATGTAGAAATATAATGCGGTGGGTGCAAAATAAAATATGATATTAACATAATTTAGGTCCAAAAACATACACAATATAAAAACACACATGCATACATAAACCTACATAAATTTAATAAAATATATAAATACTCAGTCGGGAACTAGAGCTGTAACTATTTCGCCAATTCACCCCGAAGAAGATCGCGCACTTTTCACTTGAATGCAAGGCGATTTGTTGACATCCTGATTTCGTCAGGGAGGGCATTCCAGAGGAGAACTGACTGGACGTAGAAGGAGAAGTTGATGAAGTTAGAGGTGTGAGGGGGGCATAGAAGAAGCATGTTGTTGGTTGATCGAAGATTTCGACCGTGATTGGAGCATAGGAAACGGAAGTGGGGTACGAGGTATTCAGGTAACGCTGGAGAGTTGAGGAAAGAAAAGAGAGAAGTCAGTGCTCGTAAACTGCGGCGCTGACGAATTGGGAGCCATTGCAGCTGGGAACGTGAAGCAGACACGAGGTCATACTTGCGGAGATTGAAAACGAATCGAATGCAGTTATTGAGAAGGCGATCTAGTTTATTGAGAAGGTCTGCATTCAGATCGAAATAACACACATCACCATAGTCGATTATGGGAATAATTAAGGACTGCATAAGCGTAGCCTTAGTTTTAGCGGGAAGGAAGTTCTTCAATCGATATAAGACACGGAGACATGTGGTGACTTTCTGGCCGACGTGTGTAACCTGTGCCCGCCAGTCAAGTGTCGAGTCGATATATAACCCCAGGTTCTTTACCACTGCACAATAAGGTATAGTCATATTGTTGTAGACAACTGGTGGGATGACCGCCACATCCAACCTACTTATCATTTGTTTGCTCCCCACGACGAACACTTGACATTTGGTTGGATTTACCGACAAACCAAACCTCGTTGACCAGCTCTTTATAAAGTCCAAGTCCTTGTTGACTTTGTCGATAGCGTATGTTATGTCCTCAACCCTTGTCTGTGTGTACACTTGTAAGTCATCAGCGTACAGATGATACGTACACTGAAGGTGCTAGGTTATGAGGTTAATGAAAATTGAGAATTTTAAGGGAGATAATATACCGCCTTGAGGGACGCCAGTGAGAAGATCACACCAACTCGACGACAAGTCATCAATATGAACACTCTGTTGTCGTCCCTGAAGATAGGAGGAGAACCATTCCAGAGCTTCTGAGGAGATCATAAGATAGGAAAGGATGGCCAGTAGAACGTCATGTCTAACGGTATTGAAGGCATTCGAGAAATCAATCAAAGCCAGCACTGTGACTTTAGTCTCCTCCATACCCCCCCTAATATCGCTTGTCACTTTGAGGAGAGCGGTGGTTGTGCTGTGCACTATAATATGCAAGTATTATAGGGATTTTAGTCTCATTAAAATTTATTGCTTAGTTCAAAAGATCTAAGAGTACAACATAAAAAGCGACTTTACTTTTTACTATGTAAAGATCTGTGGGCACGGTAGTGCCACCGCCAAGTCGGGCAAAACAGCTACACGGCCGTACCATCCTTCTATATTGTTAATACATTGTAATCTTACCTCAAGTTTGCGATTTTCGTTTATAATTTCGATTGCTACCTATTATTACTTTGACGACCGGAAGGACTTCTCATTTGGGCTTTAAGAAAATCCGTTGTTAGGGTTCCGTACCTCAAAGGTGAAAAAGGAACCCTTATAAGATCACTTTTTTGTCCGTCTGTCCGTCAGGAACGGGTAAACCTAGCAAGTTGAAATTTATACCAGATACTGAGGTCTATGGTCCCTATTAGGTTCTTATTAAGATAGATAGATTTATATTTCTATTATTTTTTTTATTATTATTTATATTTCTTCTTAAATTAGGGTTCTGAGTCAACACGACAAAAAGATATCGACAAATTTCGATTTTCGCGAAAACTTGTAAGTACCAAAATTTACCTGAATTTTCAACTTTTTTTATATTTCAGAATTTCCTCTTTACTTGTGCTGTAAGACATTGCTTCAAATCAAAATTGACAATTCTAGGTAAACCGGAAGTACCCTATAGGTTTTGGGTCGAATACCTATATGGTAGTTCCCGTTGACCTCGGAATTCGGCAAAAAGAAACGTCTTACAGCACAAATAAAGGAATAATTCCAAAAACTAAAAAAACTTGAAAATTAAGAAAAATTTTGTTACTTACAAGTAACAAAATTTTCGCGAAAATCTACGGAAAATCTGGGTAGGTACAGAACCCTCGGCGCACGAGTTCGACTCGTACCTGATCGTTTTTTTTTGTATTTAAGAAGTAGAAGGTACCAGAGAGAAAAAAAAGTAGGACTATCTACAAAAAGAAATGAGATGCCATTAAAAACAAAACTTGTAAAAAAAACAACTCCCGCAACTCTTCTACCGTAAGAAGTTGTGAGATCCATGTAATACCAAGTCAGTTACTTTATTCAGTCCCTACTTAAAGAACCTCTGTTTCAAGCTATTACGTAATTAGCTAACCTAACAACATCATATAGTGACTATATCAATATTAAAAATCTTTAATGTTTTAAATAAAATAGATTGACTTGGCCATGTTTTGTTTTTGATGGCATTTTACTTTTCAGTTATTCTCATAGGGTTATTTTTTTTTGTTTTTTTTTTAATAATATTATGATTAGCATACAATATAGTGGTAACCTTGATGGTTTTACATTGTACACATACCTAGACAACGACGGCAAAATTATGTTTTATTTGGTAAAGGAACAGCTTGAGCGTTTTTACTTTTCTGTATATTATTATGTTCAAATTTATAAATATTCTGCTATACGGAGATACATTTTACAATACTTATTATATTTTAAATACAAAAACTAAGTGCAAAACTGGTTAGTATTAGACAAGTCCTATATTTATTGCCACTGTTATAATTAAATGATACTTATTTCTGCAAGTAAATATTTTGAGATATTTGTACAAGTCAGACTTTACGCTAGAAGGCGCAATTTCCTAAGACTCACTCTGGGAAGAATCAAACCACAGAGATGTCTTTTTATTTTGAGACCGTGTACAATGTTAAAAAGAACTATGTGAGTGCAGTATAAGGTCTGGGTTGGCCTTTTGAAGAAAGGACCATAGTTTTGAGTCGGCCCGTCCATACAGACGGCATACGAGCCCCAGCTATCGCGTAGCCTAACCAATATAGTCAGGATCAACAACCCGGAACAAGACACTACCGCCAGCAGGATACTTGAATAGGCCGAGAAAAGACTCAAAACCACCGGAAAGTTACTAAAAAATGAACTAACATTACAAGCCTACACTATACTCACATTTACATACTTACACAAAAAATATACTAAACAATAATTCAATTTCAACGAAAAAATAAAAAAAATAAAAACTAAGTCGCGGCAAAATTATTATCTAACTTTACATTTCGACATCTGTGTTCAGTAATTTGCTTAATTGTACTGTTTGTGACTTATAACTTCTTACATGGGACAAGAATTCTATCTGGAACAGTTTCGAATACGAGCTGGTTTATCAGGTTGATCACAAAATAACCCATCTATTCCTGCATCAAAGTATGCTTGTATTTCAGCTGCCAAGTTACCAATTTCAGTTGGTACTTTATCTTTAGTTTGATACTCACTGGGTAAGAAGTTGTTTTCAGCACGGAAAGTATATGGGTGTACTTTTAAGCCAGCAGCGTGAGCGTCACTCACAAAAGTTGTTGCATCCCCTAGGTTATTGTTTTCATCCCGAGGTATGATATAAGACTTATCTGGACCAACTGCATATGCATATGTAGCTACTTCACGAAGACCCTCTGGTGTAGCCATTTGACCATAAGTAAGATTAGTGCCAAGTTGAAGTTGATCGAATGGCTGAAGTGACTTATCAGACTCGAATAACTGCAAAAGTCGAAGGTCTGTAAGAGTTTTCAATTCTTTTAAATTATTCACTTCAAAAGATTGTATATACACTGGATCATTACGTTCTTTATAACTATTTCGGTGTAAAATATCTACAAGTTTTTGTTCCATCGATAATCCAAGCGAGCGGTAATAAGTGCTGTGCTTGATTTCCGGATAGAGTCCGATAACCCTTTTTTGACTGATTTCTAATGCTTTGACTAAGTCAATTATTTCTTGTAAGGTGGGAATTAGTAAAGCACCATCTAGACGAGCATTTCCAGGTCTGATGTCAGGAATGCGTTCGATGACGCGTAAAGTTTTCAATTCTGCAAGAGTGAAATCTTCAGAGAACCAACCAGTTAGTTCTATTCCATCGACGGTTTTATTGGTACGACGGCAAGAGAATTCGGGACGCTTGGCGACGTCTGTAGTTAAACCTAATTCGTTATCATGACGAGCTACCAATTGGTGGTCCCTAGTCATGACTAGGTCAGGTTCTATGTAATCGGCACCCATGAACACCGCGAGAGCGTACGATGCAAGGGTGTGCTCCGGTACATATCCACTGGCACCGCGGTGTCCTATAATTAATGGGTGACAGAATACTGAATCGGGCTCACGCTTTGGGGCTACTGAACTTTTGTCAGCTGATAATGCATTTGTTATTCCAATAATGGCAAGAAAAACCGTCGACGCATTCTTATTCATTTTCCTGTAAGCAATAATTAATTGTTATACTTCGTAAACTACGCGTTTACTTTAACAAAGAACATAATAAAATCAAGAAATACATTGTTAGAATATTGTTTTAAACTGTTTAAAGACTTTTAAAGACTGGTTACGGAAAATCTGCTAAGAAATATAGGAGTACTCTTATCAAGATGACGTATGATAACACAGTTAAGTTAATACAAGGTCTATATATTTATTCTCAAAAACAATTAAATCTAAATGTGTGGAAAGAGTATTGGATCCTTTGTATTATTATCCTTATCCTTTGTATATTTGAGTTTTATTATTGTTCGTTTACCTTTGTATAAATTTAAATTAAAAGATATTTATTAAAATAAATTACAGCCTCACCTTAGACACACGGTATCATTAAACAGCAACTGACTGTATATAACCTTAACTTCAATAGAATGATGGTAGTCACATCAGGACTTTTATTGATGTGATGACGACATTAAAAAATACTTACATTTATACGATGTTTGTCGACGGTCGTAAATATGATAATATTATTTGATGAGAACGCTTTGTGATCGTGCACCAAGTACAGGCGATTGGTAAAGCGGAACAGTTAGCCTTTGCACAGCGCACGTTTAATAGTGTTGAGGTCATTACCGCGGCGACCAGGAAAATGCAATGGGTAATTTTATTTTTAAGGTCTGCTACCAACAGATTTCAAGGTTAAATATGAAGTTATTCGATTCAAATTGAAATCCGGACTGATTCTAGTTCTTATGTGTGTCATGGTAGGTATAGCTATCCTTTTTATAATGGAATAGCAAACGAGCATATAGGGCACCTAATCGTAAGTAACTACCGCTGGAGTTATGTCCCTGTAATCTAGGCCGTTACACAATGGCTCCATTGTTAGTTAGGCAATAAAGATAACCCTTAGGTTACTGGAGGAACACGGTCCCGAAAATTTAACATAAATAACAATATTTTACCAAATACTTCAATATTTGCATTTAAAAAATTACTAAACGCTTCATGAAATATACCTTTTTGAATTTGGATTTTTTAAATATTCCAATGGTGGTTTAACATTACAATTTAAATTAGTAATTTTGACTAACTTTTTACTAATCATCACTCAGGGCGACATGAGGCACTGGAATACGCGCCTCCGCCACCCGGTTTGCCTGCGACTACTTAGGTCCGAGTGAAAATCATTCTCCCGGGCTCTCTGAGCCGCCGCCGTAACCTTCCGCGGATGTCATGTTCGTCGCATCCGACAACTATGAAACATATGCCAATACCGGCCATGACAGCGAGAGATTCTCTCCGATGACTGCAATGAGGACCCGACGCTGTGACGCCCAAACTGGGAAAATTGCCCAGGCAGTACTCAATTCACTCCTAGTGACTTCCCGAAGCAGCCTTGCCTGGAAAAGATCTTCTTTCAGTTGGAAGGAAGGATTGCGATGTGGGTGCTAGTTGTCTAGTCAGAGAGATACCCCTGAAAGTTCGCCGTTCGGGCTGTAACTAAAGTGTCATCGGCGTAACAAATTACACTCAGCCCGGGGGTGCTGTCTCCTCGAAGGCCTAGACCTATGTTCAACAGGAGGGTTCCAAGAACAGACCCTTTTGACACACTGCACGTCGTGAGCCGGCGCCTCAGATATCCATCTTGGTCCTCATACATGACCGTACGTTCATCTAAATAGTCTGCCACTAGCCACCTCAGGTACTCTGGCACCCCGTGATAGTGGAGTGGATATACGTGGCAGGCACGTACTAGGCAGTGAGCCGTAGCGGCAGAGGCCTCCGGTTACGATTCTGTGGTGCAACACAGCGCCGATCGTCAAACGCCACGCTCGAAAACCGAATTGGACGTCTGACAGATAGGGGCCTACCTTCCAGAGGTGCCGGACGATGCGGGCAGAGACAACCCTCTCAAATAATTTATCTACCTCGTCCAGCAACAATGGGCTTGTAGGCTGCGACCGAATCGACAGTCTCTCCCGGCTTCGTTAACAAGGCCAGCTGCCCGCTCTTCCAGCACTCAGGGAAACGTCCGGACGCCAAGCTAGCGTCAAACACTACCCTAAGGGGGTCTGACATGGGATCTAGGGCTAGGGCCAGCACTGGGCAGGTGTCGCGTCTATTCGAAGTACGTACGTAGTCGTACTTTCTATTTTCTTCTTTAGTTTAGGGGCTTGTTTGTAGTTTTTCACGAAAATTGGTTTATCATCCGTTAATCTTAATTCATGTTTAGTTTCGTGTGTGAATGTTAGAGGTAATTTCTTCACAGTGAAAGATATCGCGGTAATTATAGCAAAGTTTTCTTATTTCACGGTTTTCTTCGGGGTTCAGACGATCTGTTCTTGATCTATCTAGATTTTTTTTTTCAATAATTCATCGATTTTTTCTTTAATTTTAGTGTAAAGTCGTTGTAAATTTAGTTTGCAGCCGTTTTTTAATATAAATTGTTGGTCTGAAGTGTTTATGCTGTAATACGTGTTTTTCCTGTTTTGATTGAAATTATTGCTAATTAATAATTAATTATTGAAAACTGTAAACCGTTATTTGTTTTTAATCTGTTTAGTAAATAGTCTCCCATTGTATTTTCGTGTACAATTGTATGTATATCGTCTCTAATGGGTATATCTACATTTTCAGTATGCTTTTTGCTTTTCAGCAGAATGCTTTTCATGTCGATTTTGCTTTTTAATGGTATTAGTAAGTCTAATCCTAATACTTAGAGCGTACTGTAAGTATCTGGATTCTGATAAATAAGACTAGATATAAGACTTACGATACATTTATTGTTTTTCAAAGTATTTTCCCTAGCAATTTATTTTTTGCATTTGCTGAAACTACTATACAAAGCAGTTGGACCAGTCTTCTTTAGAGACCTCTTCAATGTCTTCATGGAAAGCATTCACCGCCGATTGAGAGCTCATAAAACCTGTGCCTCTAAGTTTGTCTTTAATTTTTTGAAACAAAAACAAAGTAGCAGGGTGCGAGCCTTATTTGAAGCTTTCAAATAGGCTTCTGTTACCTTGGCGGAATGTGAGGATCCGTTATCGTGGTGAAGGAGGACATTGCCTAAAGGGAGGTTTTTTGCGAACTTTTCTAAAGCTCTGAGCAAGCAAGTGTTGACGTATTAATCTGCAGACACCGTCCTTTTTTTATGTAAGAAGAGACGAGCAGACGGGTCACCTGATGGAAAGTGACAATCGCCGCCTATGAACGTCTGCAATTCAGGAGTCACAAACGCGTTGCTGGCTTTTTAGGAAGTAGTAGTAGTTCTTGAAGGTTTGAAGGTCGAACGTAAAGTACGTAGTCACTAAGGAAAAACAGTTCACAAAGGTATCCAGGAAACATATTAATATAAATTATCACTGGCCGAATATGCTATCATTTATTCAGAAATTCAGAAATAAATGCGATAAATGCTAAAGAGTAAATACGAACGCGACCCTGTAACACTGCTATCATTAACAGACACACCACATAAACCAATGGAACACATGTTAATGGATTTATACAGCAGCGGAGGAACTACATTCTTAACTATAATAAATAACTTCAAAATATATGTATAAGCAATACCACTCACAACAACTACTAGCATTCACATAGCCGAAAAAATCACATCCCTAAAAGAAAAAAACCGATTCTGACCCCAAATTGATAACGAAGTAATTACTGCAATATGCGCAATGCATAACATTTAAATACACTTTACGACCCCTTACAACACCAACTCAAATTTATCCATCGAAAGTTTACACTTGCAGAAATAATCAGGATTCAAAGAATCACAGATAAAAACGATCCAGTAATGAAATATGCAATCATAGCATACAACAATAGTATATTCAGTCAGCAACAGGATTTACTCCCTTCAAACTACTTTATGGTCATACTGATGATAGAAATCCACTAGAACTACACTGCCCACAAGAATTTTACCAGGAATATATATAAACTCATAAATAGTAAACTCGCTAATGATAAACAACAAGTAATAGAAATCAAAGTAGGCGATATCGTCTACAAACAGGTAGCAAAAACCGCTAAGGCCAACAAATTAGAACCGAAATACATACGTCCATACACAATAGTCGTATACACCCGGAACAAATAGCAGAAATAGTAAGAAAACACTTAAACTCAAAAACTATAAGAGTACATTTCCGATTATTATGGTAGACCGAAAATGTTTCAGGGACGCCATTACCCTCTACGCGGTGTTCCAACTCGCCGTAGCCACTGCAGTCATACAGCCCATACATAATCACAATGGAATCTTAGTGCTTACAGAAGCCTAGGCACAATACCAAATAGATACATACCACCTAGCAGTAGTCTACAACACAACAAAACTAAAGGACATTTATCTAGAAATATGCAGCAACTATTATACTGTTAGGTTAAAACAAAAAAATTCAATTAATACTTTAGCAATCAGAAAACAAATAGATTACCTTATTGATAGAATAGATAGTTCTTGTAGATTACTTTATATAGTAATCTACAAGAACTATCTAAATAGATGGTCTAGGCAGCGTAATTAAAACCATTACAGGAAACGTAGATCAAAACGATGCTATTAAATTCGACACGGAAATCAAAGTAATTCAGTTCGCAATTAATACTATACGTATAATGCAAGATTTCATGAAACAATACGAAAATAGTTTGAAACACATTAAAAATAACCAGGACAAAATTGTATTTGCAATTAATAGATACTCTCAACAAAAAACAGACTTTAAAACTAATTACCTAAAAACAAAAAATCTATAATAGCATTGAAACATCATTTCAACAGTTTCACGCAAGATTGGAAACATTCGAAAACGCAATAATATTTTCTCACCTTAAGAAGCTGCATCCTAGTATGATTGATCCGATTTATTTAATTGAAGAGTGAAACCAAATTCAAAATTAAATCATTGCAAACCTAGTCTTCAATCAAAACACATATACTATACACTTGTGGGAAAAAGCAATTGTAGTTAAAACTTTTAGCACTAACGAAACACTTACGTTTATATTAGATATACATGTTTTAGATATATCGCACCTTTACTCCATTCCCAACAATAATAACACTATCCTTGTACCCAAAAACCCTTTCCTCGTCTTGGGAAATAACAATTTTGCGTACCCTCACAAGCCCTGCACAGAAATAACCGACGACGACGTCAACCGGCAACATCTAGAATGGCAGACATTATTGCACTCAACTGATTGCATCGCACAGATGATAAAACACCAGGAACCACCCAACTGTACTTAAACAACTGCAAGCTTCGTAAACAACATCATACAACAAATCAAAGACAAGAGCTGGTTGGTCATCATGAAGCAAGAAGAGGTCATCAAAACAGTCTGCAACAACGACGTGCAATACCAACGCAACAAAGGAGTCTCCCTAATTACCACAAAAAATAAATGCGAGGTGCAAGACAAGATACTCGTGACACATTAGCGCTACGTCAACATCAAAGAAACTGTACCATTACCAAAAGCACGTCAAGCAATGAATATTTTACCAATTAAAATAAATCTGGAATTGATAAAATTGAACAACCTGAAAAACGCACTTCAAAAGGCAGAGGAAATCAAGATCCCGGATGAAAACCTTACAGTTATTTCCACGACACCTAGTTGATGATCAATATTCCTGTATTTAATCATCCTCACGACAATCATTAGTGCAGGAATTCATAAATTTTTTTGGTAACGCAAATCGGCGCAAATCTCAGTTCTGCAACAAGAAGCTGAAGAACTGCAGCTCCCGCAGCGCCTCCATCTTAAGGGGGGAGGAGTTACAACCCTGTAATCTAGAACATTTCACAATGGTTGCATTGTTAATTAGGCAATAAAGATAACCCTTAGGTTACTTCCGCAATTATCAGCGGGAAACACAACATTAAGGTCTTTGTTATTATAACAATGTACGAATGTAATTGGCAATAAAGTTTAGTTCTGATCGCAGCCTTGACTGGAGCAGACGTTTTCTTTGTCCTTTTAAAAAGCCTCTCGCTTTTGCCCACAACCTAACTCCTGTAAAGTAATTTTAACAATCGGCAAATAAAACACATATTAGTATGTTATTAATTGTCGAATGGCCTATGTCCAATCGTTAATAATTGCATTGACATTTTTCTACTTTTTAATTAAATTTCATTATACAAAATACTATATACGATATAATTTCTGTCTCTGGTATTAAATTGAATATCACGAAATACGTTTTTTTTTATTTCACTTGGTTTGTATCGACCTCTGCCAACAATAACTACTTGTGGTAAAAGGGTTGATCATTAGTTAGAAACGAATTCTGTAGTATGTAGGTAACACTTTTACAAATAACAAGTGTAAATAGTACGCTATTAAGGTATGAACTTACTAGAGTTGAAAATTCAAGTTCTGACCATATGTAGCTATGTTGTATGAATTACTGGTCACCTATTTCTGGTTTTAAACTTCTCTAATAAGACTAGCAGGTGGATATTGGTAATAGACGAACCCCGCCGTTATTTTGTCTGGGTATAATCTGTCGAATATCAACTTTTAGTCTTTTACCGTTTCGTCTTTTATTTTCGAAACAAACTGTGGCCTATGTCATAATACAAGGTCCCAATATATCCCTTTATCAAAATACATCAGATGTCGTTAAGCTTTTTTGGGTAAGAAAACGTAGTCGAGAGTTATTTTCGGAATTATAACATTAAACACAATAACTTTAAAATAAGAAAAAACAGTCGCTGGTGGTACCCTACCGTATGTGGATGGATTCGGACTGCCCAAGATTAGAATAGTTGGTGCTCCTTCTGGGAGGACTTCGTCCAGTAGTAGACGGCGATAGGCTGACGATGATGAAGAAGAAATAAACGAGGTATGTACAGGCAAAAGGCTAGCTACTGCTAACGTTTATAACGTGTAACAAATATGGTTACAGCTGTGTACCTTGTACACAGCTGTAACCATATTTGTTAAGACAGTTAATAATACATGCAAATATGCACATATAAGAATTTATATCAGTTGTCTAGTACCTATAGTACAAGCTCTGCTTAGGTTGGGACTGCTTGGGACTAAATGGCGTTGTGTGAATGTGGTAGAATATTATTATTATATTAATATAAACTATAAACATAGTATATGTTCTAATTATGTAAGAAAACTTTATACTAAGTCTGTTAGTCTAGGGCAAACTAGAACAATAAAATTTATGCAGTTATTATATCGTTAAAAAAGCCCAAAGGAATCCTGAACTCTATTTGGTGACGGACTCATCGGAATCTCATTCTGAACTTTGATTTAAATGAAGATGCTGCATTGTTTAGTTGTCATTATTAAATTTATTACCTACAGTTCTGCGTTTGCAGTTAAATATATATTTTTTTAATACGCATTCTCTTTGTCAGTGTACATATACTTGAGATAAAATTAATACATTTGATTTCAAATGAGCTAGTATTAGAGTGACTATTAAAGTGAATATTTTTTTGGGATTATATGTCTTGTATATCATTGACGTCGTGTTTTATGGATAGGTTGAATTTTATTTTATTAAATTTTTCGTAACAAGCGATGGAGCTGTGGCTAAGAGAAGCTCTGGTCGATTGTTGATTTTTTAAATCTGATTTAAATGTTTGTTAACTTAAAATAAATAAAAACGTCATAAGTTTTTTTAAATTCTGAATTATTTTATGACGTCATATAGGGCTCCAAGTGACATCAAAAAGTTTTAAGAATGGTTAGACTACTAACTATCGGGAGTAGTAAAGTGAGTATTTATGTACATCTTTCTTGCTATAGTGTTAGGTAGCAGTAGTTAGTATAAAAGCAATCCCTCACTATAAAAATGTGTTATATGTAAGATAGATTGGCTTTTGTACTCTTTAAAATATTTAACTACTATATTTTTTATTTACAACAACAATAATAAAGCAAACAATACTATTTTATTACCATTAGGTATAACCCGGTAAAAATTAATACTACAGTCATAATGTGAAAGACGCAACGATATACTCGTTGTAGTAAATAACCGCGGAAACAAGTTCCTTTTAAGCATGCGATTATATTTAATTTCCTGACAGTAAATAAATTTTTAAAGACGACAAAGTCAAATCCTAGGAACACCCAAGCGTCACACAGAAAAGATAGACACATATTTAATACACATATATGTAGTTCAACATTCAAGTTATCCTAAGACTTAAGTTTGGATAGTGTCACTACATTTACGGCCTTGTAAGATATAAAATATCTTATGTAGACGTCAGTCAGGCGAGGCAGAAAGGCGAGTACCATGGTCGCATGCCATCATGTTATTCACTAGTTGTAACACGTTCTCGGATGTGGCCAGTAGGTTGTAGGTTATGCAACTTACTCCAATTTATTCAAATGTATAGTTTAAATTCGTTATAGATTATCAGTGTCACATATTATCGTGCCAAAGGTCATGTAAGCGGTTTACCCACATTTTGAGCAGTGCAAATAATTAATAATGCCTATTTTACTTGTTCTACCAGAAGTATAGATTTGTTCTTGAAGTTCTTGTGAGAATTAGCATTGCCAAGAAATGTGATGATACTATTTAGCTTTTTCATTATTTTTTATATTTTGATGGTGAATTCTTTCATTAAGAGAAACGATATCTACTATTTAGAAATGAATTGATCCATATCCAGTAAAATGAATCTATGCATGTTCATCGCTTCGATAATTTACGATTCCATCCATCGATAAATTGATTCATTTTTGATTTTCTTATCGCTCTGAATACAATTACTTTCTGAGTTGAATTACCTAGTTTCTATTCCGAGTTTTCCTTCACCTTCTAGTGACTTTGCTCTAAACATAACAGAAATCTCGACACTTTCTTTTCCCATTGTGTCCCAATAAATGTTCAGCGTGTTTCCTCGTATAAAAGGCTCTACTTCAGATATATAATCAGGATGGCGCGTTCTAGGCAAAGGTTCGTGCTCTCCTAATCTGTAAACTGGCCAAGTAATCATAACAGTACAAATATATAATAATTTCTATTTATAATAATATACATATTTTTTGCCAGTTTAATATTTTCTTTTCCTAATGCACTCGTACATTAATTTAACGTTTATTTTCAATGCACCTAATGCAATCTACTTATTCCATATTATTATTTTATTTAAAACTTAATGGACATGTTGTACAAAGGCGGAGTTAATGCCATGAGGCATTCTCGCATGTAGGGATGTAGAAATATGATGCGGTAGGTGCTAAGATAAAAGATTATCCTAAGGTAGACTGATGAACTCATCTTCGTCTTCTTTGACATCGTCATCATCAACAGCCTTTAATAGTCCACTGCTGGACATAGGCCTCTCCTTAGAAAGGTTTTGGCCTACTATACCACGCTGGCCAGAAGGGTTGGTATAGGGTTTGTGTCAAGTTTTCCTTCTCTCTGCAGTGCCGTTGTTCTACGTAGTTTTCTCCCTTAGTTGGCTCTTACGACACCCACGGGATGAATAGGGGTGGTGACACTCTGTATTCTTATTCCGTCACCACACGCCACCCTTCTTTGACATTAAGTCCTAATTATCACTCATGAAGAAAATAAATATGCCTTAGCATTTAACCTAAAAGAAACATTAACAAATGTAAAACTATTCTTTTAAGATAAGTTTAATTAAAAGGTATTTTTGTGACATTAAAATTGTCGGAGGAGAAGGTACGTGTAACTAAGGAAGTAGATCGTGTTGATTATATAGCTTCTGAGGTGCTTATTTTAAAATGCCTTCACAATATAATAAAGTTGATTATGTTGATCACGCGACAAGACCCGTCACAAATTATAATCATATAAAGTATGCACGCGTAGTCTAATGAGATAGTTAATAGCTGGTATAAAATACTATTAGTGTTTAGTAGAAATTATGTTTTAATAATAATTATAATTTGGTGGCGAATAGGTTTTATGATTTAAATTTGTTACGACATCACGCGTGATGCTTAACTATTGATGGAGGGAAGAAAGAGGGGAGAGTCTATTTTTAAAGCAGCAAATTCAAATAAACAAACATACTAAACTAAACAACTAAAAATCCGATAAATGACTTACAGAATGATTCCAAAATTGAGTAACCTATCTACATACAAGTTAGCTAGACCGAGACAGCCTGGTACTTTTATATAAATATTATAAATAATTCCACGGACTTAACAAAAAATCAACCCGTCTGGCCACTGTTGAATAGTAGGCCAAAACCTCCTTCCTAAGGAGACGCCTATGACCAGCAGTTGACTGTTAAAGGCTGTTGATGATGATGAACAGAAAATCAAACACATACCATTTAAACATCGCGTAAATATAGGCGTAGCTAAATACAATAGGCGTAGCTAAATACAACAGGCCGGTGACGGGCAGCAGCGTTACCGGTGCGACAAGCTACGCCCTGCGATCGCCAACCCGCCTGCCCAGCGTGGCGATTATGGGCAAACCCCTCCCATGCAGACGCAACAAAGGCCACGGCCCCCAGTTCCCGGCGGCCCCGCTATTCCTGGTCATGGTGGCGACCTCGGTAAAGGCGGGGCAGGGGGTGCGAAGAATCTCCGGGCTACGGGAGGCCACCACAACCGACTGACCCTGGCTACGTACAACGGACGCACGCTACGGCTAGACTCGCATCTGGCGCAACTTGAGGTGGAACTTGGGAAGATTAGGTGGCATATCCTAGGGCTATGTGAAGTCCGAAGAGAGGGGGAGGACACCATAACCCTCGAGTCAGGCCACCTAATGTACTTCCGCGAGGGAGACCAACAATCCCAAGGTGGGGTTGGGTTTCTGGTAAATAAGTCCCTATCTGACAACGTTGTGGAAATTTCCAGTGTGTCGAACAGGGTAGCGTACCTCATTATCAAGCTCACCGAGAGGTATAGCCTCAAGGTTGTGCAAGTGTACGCACCGACCTCGGCACATTCGGACGACGAGGTGGAGGATATGTACGATGACATATCGAGGGCCCTCCACTTCACAACTAAGACCCACTACAACGTTGTTATGGGTGACTTCAACGCTAAAGTGGGAGTACAGAATTGCGGCGAATCGGTAGTAGGATCCCATGGATTTGGAAGCAGGAATCATGGGGGGCAAATGCTGGTCAACTTCCTCGAACGGGAGGGGCTGTTTTTGATGAATTCTTTCTTCAAGAAACAGCCCCAAAGGAAGTGGACGTGGCAAAGCCCCGACGCTATGACCAGAAATGAGATCGATTTCATCATGACGGATAGAAAGCACATATTCAGAGACGTCTCAGTGATCAATAGGTTTAATACCGGTAGTGATCACCGACTTGTCCGGGGCTCTCTGAATATCAACTTTAAGGCGGAACGTGTCTGTTTGATGAAATCCAGGCTCCGACCAACTCGGCTCCAAGCCATGACAGGATCTGAAACGTTCCAGTCAAAACTGGAAAACCGATTCGCTGCCGTGGAAACCACAATCGACGTAAACCAGAACCTCAAAAATGTGGTTCAGATCCTCAGGGAAGAAGGTATGAGATTTTGTGAAATGCAGCGTAAGGGCAGGAAGTCGAAGCTTTCAGAAAGGACCCTAGGGCTGATGAAGAAACGACGTGAAAACCCACCTGTCACTTTGTCGGCAAAGCGGACTCTAAACCGAGAGATCAGTAAACTCGTACGACACGACCTCCGGTGCTCCAATACTCTTTCAATTGAAAGAGCGATCGAGCAAAATCGGGGGTCAAAAGTGTTCGTACAATCTCTTGGAAGAAGCCACCTGACAAAGTTGACTACAGAAAGTGGAGAAGTCGTTGCTTCGAAGCCGGCAGTCCTTTTGGAAGTGGAAAGCTTCTATGGCCGGTTATACGCTTCGCATGCATCTCGACCTGATCCCGAAAATGAGGACTCTAGAGCCACATTAACACGTCACTACACCGAAGACCTGCCAGAAGTTAGCATTGACGAAATCGAGATGGCTCTTGGACAGCTGAAAAATGGAAAAGCCCCTGGAGAGGATGGCGTTACAACAGAGCTGCTGAAGGCCGGGGGTAAACCCGTACTAAGGGAGCTCCAAAAGCTCTTCAACGCTGTCCTGTTTGAAGGGAGAACTCCAGAAGCGTGGAGTAGGAGTGTGGTCGTCTTGTTCTTCAAAAAGGGTGACAAGACCAGGTTGAAGAACTATCGACCCATATCCCTTCTAAGCCACGTCTACAAGCTGTTTTCGAGAGTCATCACGAACCGTCTTGCGCGAAGACTCGACGAATTCCAACCACCGGAGCAAGCTGGGTTTCGGAGCGGATATGGCACCATAGACCACATCCACACAGTGCGGCAGATTATACAGAAGACCGAAGAATATAATCAGCCCCTGTGTCTAGCATTCGTGGACTATGAGAAAGCCTTTGACTCGATCGAGATCTGGTCTGTTCTGGAGTCCCTGCAGCGTTGCCAAGTAGATTGGCGATACATCAAAGTGATGAGATGTCTCTACGAAGCCGCCACCATGTCCGTCCAAGTACAGAATCAGCAAACAAGGCCCGTACCATTGCATCGAGGAGTGAGACAAGGGGACGTTATTTCCCCGAAATTGTTCACAAATGCAATGGAGGACATGTTCAAGACGCTGCACTGGAAAGGGCGTGGCATCAATATCAATGGCGAATACATCTCTCACTTGCGATTTGCAGATGACATCGTCATCATGGCAGAGACGTTGCAGGACCTACAGCAAATGCTGAATGACTTAGCTGACACTTCTGTACGCATCGGCCTACGGATGAACTTGGATAAAACCAAGGTCATGTTCAACGAACATGTACTACCGGAACCGATTGCGGTACACGGTGCCGTTCTCGAAGTTGTTCAAAATTATGTGTACCTCGGGCAGACATTGCAGTTAGGTAGAAACAACTTCGAGGACGAGGTGAACAGAAGAATTCGGTTGGGTTGGGCAGCGTTTGGGAAGCTACGTCGAGTCTTCTCATCGTCGATCCCACAGTGCCTTAAGACGAAAGTCTTTAATGAGTGCGTCCTACCCGTCATGACATACGGAGCTGAAACGTGGACACTTACGGTACGGCTGGTCCACAAGTTCAAAGTCGCTCAACGTGCTATGGAAAGGGCTATGCTCGGCGTTTCTCTAAGGGATCGCATCAGAAATGAGGTGATCCGGCAGAGAACTAAGGTCACCGACATAGCGTACCGGATCAGCAAGTTGAAGTGGCAGTGGGCTGGCCATATTAGCCGCAGAACCGATAACCGTTGGGGAAAACGAGTTCTTGAGTGGAGACCGCGTCTCGGCAAACGTAGTGTAGGACGCCCACAGGCCAGGTGGAGTGACGATTTGCGCAAGATGGCTGGCAGGAGCTGGATGCGAGAAGCCCAAAATCGATCTAAGTGGCGTGCAATGGGAGAGGCCTATGTCCAGCAGTGGACTGCGATAGGCTGATGATGATGATGATGATGTAAATATTTTCGGTGAATCTGTGTAATTAACCTTACTTTATATTTTAATTTATAAACAAAACAATAAACCATAAACTAGCAGAACGATTCACGTATCAAAATCATTTATTGACAAATGCCATTTCAAGTGAGTCGAAGACAAATAAATATTACGTTTTATATTTACATTACGTTTGAAAATTAGGTACTTTTTAAAGTGTTCTAGCCCATAGCGTATTATTAAAATCAGGTGATAAATGATGATGTGTAAAATACATTTATTTAATCTTAACTTTCTATCTTCAGTATTGTCAGAATATACAAACAATGTCTTGATAGAGATAGGAGATTGGAGGTTAATCCAAGTAGCTTATAACCGAATGCACTGTGATATGTTCATTAAAATACTAAAAAGCGATATTAAATAATTGACTAGATGAATAAATTGCATTATTTTTTCCGATCTTTTTGAAATGATATGTTTAAATTTTCATTCCTGACAGTAGCCCAAGTTACTGCGAGCACGTACAGCATCATCTGGCTGGTCAGCAAAGAGACCATCTATTCCTGCATTGAGGAAAGCTCTTATTTCTCCTTCAGCATTACCGAGAGCATCAGCTGAAGAATTATCACTTTGAAATTCAGTTGGTAAGAATTCGTTTTCTGACCGGAACGTATACGGGTGAACCTTCAGACCAACTGCGTGGGCATCGACTACAAAAGTAGTTAATCTTCCCAGGGTGTTATTACCTTCACGAGGTAAAATATAAAGCTTATCTGGTCCGACCGCGTGAGCGTATGATGCTATTTCACGCAATCCTTCAGCAGTAGCCATTTGACTGTAAGTGAGACCAGTACCGAGCAGGTTTTGGTCAAACGGTTGACGTGTAGATGGTGCTGCCAACAGTTGAATTAATCGAATATCAGTAATCTCCTTTAGTATTTTTAAGTTGCTTACTTCAAAAGATTGGATGATAATTGGTGCTTCTGGACCATGGTAGCCATTAAGATGTAGCAGATTTACGAGAGGCCTCTCCATGGGTAGTCCTAAACGCTGAAAGTGGGTGGGATGTTTAATTTCCGGGTATATACCGATTGGTCGTTTTAAACTAATCTCCAATCCCTTAACTAAATTAACTATCTCTTCCATAGTTGGGACTTCAAAAGCATAGTCCATCCTCGCATTACCAGGTCTTATTTTAGGTATCCGTTCAATGGCACGTAACGTTTTTATTTCTTCTAAAGTGAAGTCTTCAGTAAACCATCCAGTTACATTATTGCCATCGACGGATTGTGTACGAAGACGGGAGGCGAATTCGGGACGTTGAGAAACGTCTGTTGTTAGGCCAAGCTCGTTGTCATGTCTAGCTATTAGGTGCCCATCTTTAGTCATTACGACATCAGGCTCAACGTAGTCTGCACCCATTGTAGCTGCCACTGCATAGGCGGCTAGAGTGTGTTCCGGGACATAGCCACTGGCACCACGGTGAGCTATGACTAGTAGTTCACAGAAGTTTCTATCGTGCTGACTAGAGGTGTTATTGTTTTGGACGACTACTACAATGACCGCGATTAGAGCGGCGGCGACGAGCAATCCAAGCACTATACCGATGATCGTCCGTCTTTTCATGTTTCTTAGTTCTGGAACGAGTTTAAGAATTTTTTTGAGTTGTTTACTTGATCAAATATATGAATATAAACTACATATACTAAGTACTACCGATAGTAGTAAAATTGAGTCTGCGTGTATGTGTGTGTGTGTGCGCATGTGCATGTGCGTTGACGGTACAATTCACATTCAGCATTGGAATAAAACCTGTGATATGGATTGTATTGTCATTGCAGCTTTTAAGAATCAAACGTTTCCCAAAATCTAATACAATCAATTACATCAAAGTGGCAACAGTTAAATAATTCCAACCACAGGGTACAAAACTTCGCGCTCGGTAACATGATTGCGGCCATGGTGCGGAGCGAGAGTGCGTATAACTCCGGCGTCTCCTTCTGTTATGCTTGCGAAGGAGATGGCGGAGCGGGACCGGGAGATTCCAATGATTTTTGACTCACATTGATGGTCTGAATACACTATTTCAGTATTCGTTACGACGTCCCTTACACCGTGTATATCACATTAGATGTGTTACACATACTAACAGACTGCGAAGTATGCGTTGCAGTCAAAACTGACGTCAGGAGATGGTCAAGGTGTGCTTAAACTTCCTTTATTGGATACACCCGGGTCTCTTGCAATAGACCCAGTATAAGCACTTCACAATTAGCACCAGAGAGATAATCAGGTTCAATCTTAAAAGATCCATTGCCCAGATCCATGATGGATCTAAGGATGATTGACCCGTAGACGTATCCTCATAACAATGATAACAGTTCGGACATATACAAATAACACAATAACAAACTAAAGTATTACCTGATCGTACTTAATATTAGCACTGTTCATTTATTCTACAAAAATGTTTTGAAATATTTTATTTGATAACTTTAATCCCAACATGAAACTAATTAAAAATGTTACGCGAATATAACGTGGTATGTCTATCAGATTGTTACCTTTTATGATTAAAACTTTACGTTGATCGCAATTTAATTTAGCACTGCACAGCCAATATTTTTGAATCGATAAAATAATCTTTTTATAAGAATTGCAGGTAAATGCCGATTTCACATGAAATCTAATTTTAATGTAGTGTACTTAAAATATTTACATTAATTTATACTCAACAACAAGATATAACAAAAAAGATAATACTGACCTGTGTAGTCATTGTATGCTGATAACTGGTACAATATAAACGTGCAACTACTTACGAAGGTAAAGTAGAAATAGCAAAGTGACTGACGAGTTCCCTCTAGTGATGGGCAGAATAGGCTTCAACACAATATGAATATTCGGCCTTAATGTATAGTGAAGAATAGTGAATTGGAAAATTGTTTTAATTAAAAAAAAACATAAGGATGGATGCTATATTTTAAATATGTAAAAATGGGCATAATCGTTTTAAATACTCAGGTAAACATAATAATTCCGGTAAAAACAATTTAGGCCGAGTTTTTAAAATAAAATATTCGGCTAATCTAACCGAGTATTTTATTTGCCAACTTGTACGCACATGTAAGAAATTATCAGTAAACAACAAATGCAAGGTAATACCTTTTAATAGGTTTACGACTAATATAATAAAACGACTTATCAAAATACAATACATTAAAGATAGTATGGAGGTATTTCGTATCGAATTATATCGGATATCGGAAAAACAATTAATATTTAATATACAAGCAAGTTTGAATTCTGTGTTCATTTAGTTGGTTGCGTCTTATACATATGTGAACGAAAATTCTGTATTGATTTATCCGTAGTCTTGCGGACATATTTGTAAGATATCCATGTAGTGGTAAATATGCATCCATACTTATATTATAAATTCGAAAGTGAGTTTGTTTGTATGTTTGTTACGCTTTCACGCCTAAACGAATAAATAACATAGGCTACTTTTTACTATGATAACCGACATACACACTGGTGGAGAGGCTAAAGCTCGCACGGATGAAATGAAAATGATGAAACGACACCATGAAATTATACATCAACGTTATCATGTACTCTCTTAGCAAAATATATACGATATCCTGAACAACAATACTGTCTTCGAGGCAAACCTGAACTGATTGACAGAACCTAATAAAAATTTTGGCAATAAATTCAGCCATCCATCGGGAGCGGGTTAGGTAAATTCAAATTTCCCACCTTGTGACTTATTATTAATTTCATACATTATTAAAGAACTAATTTTACAGATTAACTATATAAAAATGCTATAATTAGAACTATATCTCAAAAGGCATATTTAACACATGAAGGTTATTATTAGTTTTCATTTTCTTCTAAATATACACTTAATAACATACATAAATGGGTGGGCGCCGAGGGTGCCGTACCTACCCAGATTTTACGTAGATTTTCGAGAAAACTTGTAAGTACCAAAATTTACCTTAATTTTTAACTTTTTTTATTTTTTTGTTTTATCCATTATTTCTGCTGTAAGACCTTGCTTTTAGCCAAATTTCGTGATTCGAGGTTTACGGGAACTACCATATATGTTTTCGAACCAAAACCAATGTCCTTGCTTTTAACCAAAATGTCAATTTTGGTTAAAAGCAAGGTCTTACAGCACAAGTGAATGACAATTAAGGTAAATTTTGGTACTTTCAAGTTTTTGCGAAAATCTAAATTTGGCGAAATCTTTTTATCGTGTTGACTCAGGAACTTATTATTTTTATTTATACTTATTTTTATACACCTAATAGGGACTATAGACCTCAGTATATGGTATACATTTCAACTTACTAGGTCCACCCGTTCCTGAGAAAATCGGTGATGATGATGACACACGGACAGACAGACGGACAAGATAGTGTCCTTTTAAGGTTTCCTTTTTTACCATTTGAGGTACAGATCCCTAAAAGTGTTAAATAAATAAGCGTCTGAAACATACTACTAGATATACATACACATATTGCGACTGCGTAATAAAATCCATAGAGCTGTTCAGGCTGCAGAGGTCCCAAACATTTGAATTTAACGCCAAAAATCGGCTATTTTGTTTTTTATTTTAATATGATATACCCAGTGTCACTCATACAGTAAATACGAATCTAACGACACCTCTCAAGATAAAATCCATAGAGACGTTCAGGCGTGCCAAAAATCCAAAGCGTGCCAAACAATTATACATCCATACTCTCGAAATACATAACCCTTCTTCTGGCGCAGTCGGGTAAAACATGTATCTTTATGCAGTCAGCGAATCTTTGTGTATATGAAGGTAATTTTTTACAGCACAGTTACTTACCAAGTTGCATAACTAAGACGGTTATATAAATGTTAGGTTGTTTTCAAAAAATGTGAAATGTTTGTGTAAAGTAACAAACATTACAGTACAGTGTACTTAAAAACAATGCTCGAATAAGTAATGACTTTTTCCATCATGCTTATTCATTGCTCGTATAAATATCTGATAGATAATATACATCGATGTTGCATATCCGGGTAAAGACTACGCCATTTTTTGTAGTTATTTGTACCTTTCTAATCTTATTGTTGAGAATATTTATGCCAACCTTTTTTTGGACGTTACCCGGATTATTTATTGTATATGCTGAATTTTTATATTTTGTATGATAATTTATTTCTAAACTGGCCATGACTTTGTTCATGTTAAAATCTTCCTATCTATATATTTTACAGGTGTAGTTTTACTGATAGAATTCAAACTGTTACTTACAGGTACTAAAATATATATTACAAACTCATACTAGGTTCTCAGAACTAAACTTATTTTTTTCTTAAAATTCGGCTTTGTGTAGCCATGTATTAAGAATTGTTTTACAAAAAGTAGTAGTAGCTAGATATATTTTAGAAGATTGTTTTAGCGTTTGTTTGGTGGAAGATAATGTTATTTTTGTTATTGCAGCATATAAAAACGTTTAATAAATACAAACGCATCCCTAGGTCCATACGACGCACCAGCCCTTGTGTATTGTGTTGACATTAGGATTTTGTACGTAGGGTTGCTACGCATGATTGAAACCTTAAATTACTTTAGTCGTGTTAATGGGTGTGTGATACGGTGATATCCAATCTTCAATAATCTGCATGTTTAAAAAAGCATGAAAGTTATCTTGGATTACTTTTTGGCTTAGGGCATAATGGATACTTTGTTGTTACTTAAATTATATTTGTTAATGTGTCACTCTCTTATCAGACTCTGTCACAAGACGTACAGCGCAAACGTTATCTTCAGTTGTCGCCGTAGCACAACGGCCTTCACGCAAATCATCAGCGAGATTGCTCAGCCCACTGAACCATATTTACACAGTGGCAGTTGTAGTTAATTTGTAAACATTGTAATATACTAGTTAATTTTTGTTTTGATATAGCGGACATTGCTCGTTTGCCGCTACGTTACTCGAAGGTTGGCACTTCGAGTTTGGAGTACACTGTTCTAGAAGATTGCTGTGAATTATTTAGCTTATGTAGGTAAAGTAAAACGTGGGACGACCAATATAACCATGACCAATATTAAGGTATTAAATCCACTTGACTATAAAATTTTAATTTTGACAAAATGTGGGTGTGTTACTTGAGTTTATATCGCTCAGATAAAAACGTGACACGCTATCACACGCGATGATTGACGCACATGATTATCATGTACATCAAAGTAGCTTCAGATAAAAACGTGATTCTCAAGATTTATCCTTGTAAAGTTTTATCTACTTTACACCTGCAATATAACTATACTATATAACTTTTATCTATTAGTTTTTACTTATTCTAGAAGAAGGTTGACCAACAAACTTAAGGCCACCTAAATTAACTAATACGAGTAGTACTTATTATTTTTATTTTAATGCATACCTAACTTTTGAAACTCGAAAATACGATAAAATTTGTTGACCCTGTTTTAAGATAATAAGAGATAGTCTAAATAAGTAACAAGGTTTGTCTTTAAAAAATATGTTTGGCTTTTTTTTATCATGTAAAAATGACAGTAAGAATAACAGATTAAAAGATACGGTATGAATTACAATGTTATTGTTTTAATTACTCGATACTATAGATATAATTCTGAGTTGAATTTTTATACTGTCACTTCTTGAGTACTAAAACTATCATCATGAATTCGGACACACCTTGAAAGGGGTACAAAAAAGTACTGTTTCCGAGACATTGACAAAATAACTTTTACGCTACAATAACTAACTTACTATTAGTACCTACTCACAGCCACAGAATTATATTTTTGTGGGCATACATTGTATTTTAGTATGAATCCGTTGATAACAGGTTTACCTAAAGTGTTATTGCTATAACTAATAGTACGATGATTCTCGGTAAACATCGTAGAAGTCGTAGACAGGTTTAAAAATTATAAGATAATATATTGCCATTTGAGTATTGTTCTTTTTGACCTTTGATTGATAGCAGAAAACAATTTATCTCGACTTATAAATAAGCGAAAATCAAACTATTGCGGAACCTAAGTTTCTTTCTATACTTATCAGCTTAAACTCTCATAAATATTGCTTTGATAACAGCTAAATACGTACATGTTCATGCGATAGATTCCGGATAGCTACCATTTTCCAATAATACAAGTTTATTGCTTAGTATTATGTTTGATATTGAATTCCAAAAACATCTTTTACAGGATATTTGTATACGTTTCTTGACTATGTACCTACTGAACATTAGATACATATCTGCGTATTTAAATTATCCAACAGTCTACTGATTTCCGATGCTGTTTTCTTAGGCATTTTCGTACTATAAATCTAATTTATCGACGCCCCATACAGTAAGTTGAAAATTTGAAAAAGTTTGGATTTCATGGATCAATCTAAAAGTAAAAATGTTTGTTGGTAGTTTTGTTCGGACGCTAATAATGACGTTTATATTTTATATAATTAAAGTTCCACAACTACGTTTTGCAAGCACAATTTTCATGGAAATTAGGAGAATTGATAAAAGTGGTAACAAGTTTAGTGTTTTAGGAATTTATTAACGGCAAATATTTCATGTCCGCTTAATTGTTGTAAATTTGCAACTAAAGAACTATGGTAAGCTTCGCTCCACTTAGGTAGAAGTTAGGCTTTTTAGGCTAGCGCCTATTTATTGTGTCTAAGATGACTACGCTACCGCGTATTTCGCAAAAGATTAACTCAAACAATATATGCCTCTTACCTGTTTGTTGCTATCTCATAGAGCAACGTAGGCTACATTTACTACCGTGGGGGGTCTCGAATTACGCCTTCCGCAATTTAAGTAGACCCAAAAATCTTGCAGAAGTATAATTTTTGAGTCATATTGTAACAAGTTTTCAAGTTTACTTAAGTTTACAAGAGTTTTAGTAACTTAGTAAAAAAGACAAAAGTCTCAAAGTGCTCTTTACTATAAATTGTAAATGTATGCTGCAAGTGATCGAACGCAAAAATTTCGTAAAGGTAAACCTAATAATATTACAACTTACCTCTTAGCATTAAAAAAAAACTATTATTGGTTGTTTTTGTTATCAAATTGTTACTTTAAGGGCGTAGGTGACAACCCTGCGCGAGTATTGTTGAAAGGGATCTCCGGGAGTATCCCTTAGCAAAATTCGTTTGTTTTTTCCCCTGTACCCTCCGCCACAGTATGCAGCCTCTAATCCTAGTTGATCGAATTAATAACGTTTGTCGTTAATCATTATCGTAAGCTGTGAATACCGTATTAGACATTGATTACAATGAGGGTGAATAAGTAAAGTTTATTACACTAGAAGATTTAGCACCGAAAGAGTTTATTATTTTGTTATCTTTTTTTGCGTTATTTACGGGCAACACGACTAAGCTAATCCGTTTTAAATAAGATTATCGCTTGTATTACTTTATCTTGTAAGTAAAGCTGTTATTGGAAGTAGTAGAAGACTGTACCACCGAAGCAGACAATTGTTTAACAAGTTTCCTGTATTGTCAGTCCAGTCTAGACGGAGAAATGTCCTAACTTCTAAGATCTGTTATCGCGAAATCAGTCGCTCTCACCACTCCGGATGCACAGTTTTGATTCCGTAAATAGCACTCTGTTTTGGTATCTTGGATTATTTATATGTCTAAGTAATCTAAGTATCTTTGCTTAATTAAAATATGATCGGTTTTGTATTTTGGAGGTTTGTATTTCGAAACTAGGCCCTTGTATTTTTCCTGATTTCATCCGAAATTCCGAAATCATCATTTATCAATATCAGTGTGTTATTTAATTAAGAAATCAAATCAACGTCTATTTTTATTGAATTGAATAAGTATATGATTACTGGACTTTAAACAGTTGTATCGCACAGGAATAATGAGATCCTTTTAATGTTTTGTATGCCTATTGGCGAAACATGGCGATCTTTTTAAATATGGTTTGTAACATCTGAATTTACCGGTGTTTTACGAAATAAATGATTGATTGATTGATTGATTGTATTTAAAAAAAAATTCTAAAGTTTTAAACAATAATCGATGTCAATTTATTTCATGCTAGTAATATAAATATTCAGAATATTAGAATTAATTTTTTTTTGGTTAAAAGTTAACTCCCGCACTAGGAACATATCCTTATCCTTATCCGAATTCAAAAAGGAGGAAGATATCAATTCGGATGTTTATAATTTTTTATGTAGGTATGTTCGAGCATAACTCCGCCATGCATAGACGGATTATCATATTTTTTTTTCGAAAGGGCTTTATTCAGCAATGGTCCCATTTAAATGTCATATAGATCTTATGATGAGTTTCGGAGACAGACAACTGAACTCTTCCAAAATTCACAGTAAATCAACCAAGATTGCTGATATTTTAGTGCTCTTTGTTAGTATTGTTTGAAGTCGGTTCCACTTTTTTTTAAGGGATTTTCTTGACATGACACTAATTGTTCACAACCACCAAACTGAACGACACAATGATTAGTTTTATCTCACTAAAGCAAAAGTTTCCCACGGAAAACATCCCCGAGGGAGATATTATACTACCCCTCAACATCTCTTCAAGAATTCTCCCCAGAGACAACAAAGCATTTAGCCATTACAACACTTGTGCTCTCGTAGCACAAGGGTTGTAATGGCTACATGACCAGTGTCTTGATCTAATATTTACTCCTTTATACACATTCGGTGGTTGAATAACTTGATAGATACTAATCATTATTAGTACTGCTTTGACACAATAACATTTTCATTTTGAGCAATTAGACATAAACAAGCGAGTAGTTATAATAGTGTATGGAGGGTAGTTAGTGGTAGAGTATTTATCTGACTTACATATATTTTATTTATTTGTTTTAT